ACAATAACACTCATGGGCTACTTCACAGCTGTAGCTGCATTTCTACCAGCATTATGAAGATCAATAAGCAGATAAAAGGTTAAATCTAAACATTTCATTACAAAGAGTCAACTAATAAAATTCTGCACTGATAAAATTATATTTTCAGCTAAATAAATATTTATTGTACGTATAAATAATGCTGGAATGAAGCTGAATCATTTAGTAAACAGTTGAGTGTTCAAATAAAAACCAGAGTGACTTTAATCTGTCCCTCCTCATGTCACCATCTACAGAAACAGCCTTCTGGGACACCTGACCAACCAGGTGGGTTTTATTTGTGACGTTTGTTTCCATAACTTTATAAAAGCTGCTGATGAAGATGATCAGATCATCTCCTCCCTTTGGTTCTCGCTCTCCCGTCGCGGTTCCTCCGTTTCTTTCTGACGCTGCAAAGCTGGTTTCCTTCTAATAGCGATGTTTGGAGTAACATGAATTACATCATTTAATACCTCGTTGGAAAGCTCGTTTTATGTACTTGTGGAAACCGTTTGAATTACTTTTATTCGATTAGTGAATCAGAAGTTATGACCCGGAGAATCTAGAGTGAGAAATATCAACATCTGTGATTCTTAGTTGTGAGTTTCTGCAACACTTTAGGAGAAGTCTCTCTCTCGTCTCATTTTCTGTCCCAGACATGCAGCTACCTGACTCTGCTCCACACACACTAACCACGGACTCAAACACACGTAAACAAAAGCTCTGATATTAAAATCCATCCAGCTGACGTGAAGCAGGCAGAAAAAAAACTTACAGGTAGATGAACGCAGACTTCTGCCTGCAGGCAAAACCAAGCCCCCACAATGCGGCTCTAAAATTGAAGCAAACCCGGAAATGAAATAAATCGCAGTTCCACCCTCATCCACTAGGGGCTGGTGTCAGAAGCGAGCAAATCCTCATTGACTCCCATGTTAAAAATACCAATTTCACAGCAGAAATAAACATGTTTACAGCCTGGTACCAGAACATGTTTTTGGTTTAAATGATCTAGTTTACACTCATGACAACTCTGAGGGGGGTGAATGTTTTTCTCACTCTTCTGTTTAAGTGTATTAAAAGCCTAAAATTCTGTATAATTAATGAGCATCAGAGCCACGTGACCACAGAGCTAGCTCCGTGGAAAGGCCTCAGTAGAGCCTCGGTCTGGCTTCTGCTCCGGGATTGTGAGTCTCTGTGTGTGTGTATTCTTGTTTGGATATTATTTGTGCAATTGTTGGACAAAATGACTTGCTGTGGCATTAATTGCACTAATAGAGCGTCCAAGGAGTCTCCACTTCATTTTTTTCGGTAAGTTAAATTATATTTATGTATTTTAGGTCACTGCCGAGCTGAGCTTAGATTTTAACATGTACTGTTTAACCATGACATTTAAATGTAATAGGGTAATGGGCTCGACAACGGGAGGTGACAAACGACCGCGATCAGTGAAATTTGTCGCTGTCGCTTTTATTACCTGACACACGGGAGGCGACCCGCGGCAGCGGCCAGCGGCAAAGCCGTCTCCACGTTCTGTTCCATGGCGAAATCAAAACTTCTGTTGTTTTGATTGGCTGTGTCAGGTTGGAGGGAATTAAGGTTATTTAAGCGGTTCAGAGTTAATAAAGCGGTAGATATGATGTTTCACAAGGTGCTGCTAGAGTTATGTGAAATCTTACTTCTGATTTTACTATAAAACATAATAATAATCAACTTCTCCTCCATGTTTGCTCGGAGGTGTACGGAGCATCCTGTCCGCTCATTGGTCAGTGAATGAAACCTCCGCTGATTGGTCCTCGTCCGAGCGACAGCGATGAAAAGTTGAAAATGTTTCAACTTTCTGGGATCGTGTCGCTGGGTCGCCTGTGCACGACACGTGCACGAGTGCAAAATTTCACACGCACGTTTTTCGCGTTTCGCTTAGTAGGAGGGAGACCCGCGATTATCGCTTTGTCGCGCATGTCTCATTGAAAATGAATGGAGGAGAGGCGATGTCGCCTCCCGTGTGTCGAGCCCATAAAACTCCCCTGGCTTCACGGCTTCTGTTTGCTCCGCAGAATGCCGGCTGGGTCTCCCCGCAGCTTGTCGCATCTCGGTCTGATCGCGGCTTCTGTCTGCTGCGCGGGCTGCCGGCTTGTGGAGCTCTGGGATGGAAACCTTCCCACCCGGTTCTCCCCAGCGGCAGCTCTGCGCATCTCAGATCGCAGCGGCGCTTGTCTGCTGTGCGGCTGCCGGCTTGTGGAGCTCTCGGAGACCTCTGTGTTCCACCCGGTTCTCCCCAGCGGTCAGCCCGGCGTATCTCTGACTCAGAAGCTCTGGTGTTGTGCACAGTTAACTCCGGTTGTAGCTAGGTTGCTACCTCCGTTAGCTTAGCTCCCACCTCCGCGTTAGCTTTGGGTTAGCTTCAGGTTAGCTTGTAGCTAGTTCGACCGGGTGTCGTCAGTTGATCCCAGCCTTACAGCCCCACCCTCAGCTCCACCTCTCTTCCCTTTTGTGGAATTGTCTGGGCTTGACGGAACCTGTGACACGGTCAAAATGGCGGTGGTGGCCACCTCCCATTTTAGCACAAAAACGTGATAATGGAGCCTATGGAAAGGAGATGTACAGTATATTTATGTCGATGGCCAAAACACCAGTCTGTCATCTCCATGGCTACAAGGTAGAGCGACAGCAGAGACAACCAATCACACGTTAGTATGATGCGGAAGAGCCAATCAGTGAGCGTGAAGGCGGGTCTAAGGGAAAATAGGCTTCAGCTTGAGGCGTCTGCCTCCGCATGGTCCTAGTGCCTGATATGTATCACAGTATAACAGTTTTGTACGGTAAAATCTGACGAACGACTGGAAAAAGGGCACTTTGGACACTTCGGACAAAAGGGGCAGGTGCTCGAGCACCCCTCCCCCCACACGTGCCTGCTCTAAAGCTCCCTGGAGGGATCTGCTGCCATTCAACCTAAAGACAAATTCAGCCTGAACGACCTAATTTACACACAATGTCACGTCGCTGGGGAAGGAAGGCATTTTCCTTTTGGAACATCTTTTCCTAATTTTTCTGCATGAACAAAACAGAGCACTTATTCTGCCTCTGTGTGAATAGTGAGGAACATCTGGATCAAGCAGTTATCTCCCTGAGAATAAACTTAAAAAGATATGAACACCGAGGAAAGATGGGAATCAGGCTCCCTCTGCGCCTTCTATTAGGTTGTCTTTGATTTCAGCTCCTTCAGTTAGATGGGTGAGCACTTCATGTGTGAAAGGAGAGGAGTGAAAGGCGTCCAGCAGGACGATGCCATGTGGTTCTGACAGCTTCTCAAAGGGTCGACGGGGGGTGGGCGGAGTTATGTGCAGCTCTTTGTGGTTGGTTCTGATAGGAAGAGATGGAACTGGGGAGATGTTACCACCGAGATAATAAACCTCAATTCAAGTCTAAATGTTGCAGTAAACATTAAAAATCATTAAATGAAGACGCCTCTAATGGTGACAATAACTTCCAGGCTAAAATTTAGATCTTATCTGAAATAAAATTGATTGCAAATTCACTATTTTTTCACAACCCACTATCATAAAGCCCTTTTTCTAGCATTTTTAAGGCTATTTGATATTGAAACTTGTGCAATTGTTCATTTTTTTCTGGCAGAAAAGCTACAATCTAGGTTTTAATACAACCTGAGAATCAGGTATTTATAACGTTTTTCAAATGCATCTATTTTCTATTCCCGCTTGTCCAAGCAGGGTCATGGGAGGGAGGGAGGTGCCTACTATCTCCAGCAGTCTTCAGGCAAACAGGCAGGCTACACACTGGACAGGTTGTTAGTCCATCGCAGGGCAAATAAAGACACACAGGACAAAAAACCAGCACACACACACACGCCTAATGACAATTACGATAAATCGATTAACCTAACAGTCATGTTTTTGGACTGTGGGAGGAAGGTGGAATAACCGGAGAGAATGCACACGAGCGCAGTGAGAACATGCAAACTCCTTGCAGAAAGACCCCAGGCTAGGATTTGAACCCAGGACTTCCTTTCTGCAAGGCAACAACGCTAACCCCTGCTCCACTGTGCATTTTTCAAATCCAATGAGTAACTTTAAATCAGACTTTACCAGAAAACGAGAAACACATCTAATATTTAGATTTTTTGAAAGTTTGAGATGACTCTAAAATATTCCTCGTTCCCCCGTCTCGTTCATTTATAGAAACATCTGCCTAATATGGTGTTTCAGATAAAGTTTTGGCAACATCAAACTGAAGTGAGTTTGTGTAAAAACAACATTTCTGCAGGTTTTTTAACTTGACTGTAAGTCTGACTCACTCTGGGAAAACAAACTTCTCCCGTGTTCCCTGAAGCAACACGTTATCCTCTTTTCCTTCTAACATCGATCCAGCCTCTAACCCAACAGCAAGGAACACTCACTCATTCACGTTTTATAATAGTTAGCATAAGCTTAAACTGTTATTTAATACAACCAAATAACTCCACACCCCGTTCCACAGCTGACCAGAAAAAGAGCTCAACCTGCATGTTTGGAGGCCGGACAACTGGAAACGTGCGGGAGACCCAAAGTCCAAACAATCCTACATCAAGTCAGAATCAGATAAAGTATTTAATCTCTTGGAACATCACACATCTCCTCAGTTCCTAAATATTTAAGAGTAATAACGTAAAATCTTATCCAGCAGTCACATGTAAGCCTCCTTTTCCTCAAAGGTTGCTCCCTTGCTGCTGCGACACCTCTTGAAGAGGTCATTCCCCTGTCTCAATAGGACAAAGATAAGGCAGAGTGGATCAATAGGCAGGTCCAGCCGGTATCAGTGTGGATGCATTGATCAGATGCTCAAGGAGAAGACAAGCACAGCTCTGCGGAAACACTCGACCTGCGTCGGTGTCCTAGTTAGACTGCTAGTGTGCACTAGGGGCCCAGGGCAACTGTATTTGGTTATTAAACAGTTAAATGTCAAAAGTGAGCAACCCCAGATCTTACCTCTCACCGGTAATTCCACTCTGACGTACATTTGAAGGATATGCCGACCATATCAAGATGCAGGAAACCAGCGATTGCGTTTAATTTGTGTAGATAACTTCCCCATGTTCCATTCATGAAAGGGCCTTCCATTAAACCTGGAAAAGGAAGGATAGATGCTCTGCAGTGCAATTATTTCCAGCAATGTTCTCAGCAGTCCAGTGATAGACTGTCTGTCCTGGGACTGGGAGATCGGGGTTCAAATCCTGATCAGGTCCTACCAAAGACTAAACATGGGACCCAGCTGCACAAAGCCTTCTAGACTCTCAATCTGGGCTCTGTGGTGGCCGATCCATGTGTGGAAATGATGTTCATGCTCCCTGAACCACTCTTTCACTGTCTGACCCCAATGAAACCTGGCATTGTCATCATGGAATATGGCCGTGCCATCAGGGAAGATGGAATAACCTGGTCATTCAGGATATTCAGGTAGTCAGCTGACCTCTTTCTTGGAGTACATCCTGTTGCTGAACCTAGACCTGACCAACTGCAGCAAGCCCAGATCATAACCCTGCCCCCACAGGCTTGTACAGTAGGCACTAGGCATGATGGTGCATCACTTCATCTGCCTCTCTTCTTACCCTGATGCACCATCGCTCTGGAACAGGGTCCATCTGGACTCATCAGACCAGTGTTAATAATGTGTTGGACAGTTCTTAACCCAGTTTTAGTCGTGTCTGCATCTCCTTAGATCTTATCTCTGCGTGATGCTAATGATCTGACCCTTCTCACACTGACTAACATCTTTTCCACGTCCACCAGACGTGTCTTTCCACATGGTTGTTTAAGAAATGAGCAGCAACTCATTGCACCAGTTGGGGTTAAATAACTTTAGCGTACCAAAGGCCAACAGTTGGGTTATTTGTCCACTGTAAGGTCAGAGGTCATCACACGGAAGTGTCCAGGCAGTTCCGCCTGCACTGGTCTCCACTGAAGAAGATGTCTGACTCCAAAGTTTTAATAATGTGTACGTTAATCATTGATGGGTTAAAATGAATATTTTTCCTTCTGTGATTCATTTCAGGTCTTAAACGACACCAGATTAATATTAGTTGATTCTAGTAATTTAACCTATCGGTATATTCACACATAATAATATTGTTATACACTTTTACATCAATTTCACAGTTATGTGTAATAACATTTTCACTTCACACTAAGAGTTAGCCTCTAAGTATCTGAGCGAAGGCATGGTTCTCTGAGGTCTTTGGTAACACCTTTAAACTTGTCAAATTCTGATTCGTCTAAATTTATCAACAAAAAAGTTGATAAATACAGGAATCACTTCCTGATTCCTTAGTTCTCCAGCTGCCTCCTGGTTCGGCTGACTGGTGAGCAAGCACTTGGAACCATCCTCTCTTTTGACCCCAAGGTCAAAGCCTCTCAGCAACGCTTGTTAGCGATATCGGACACAACGGCTCTTTAAAGAGCCACCGACCAGCCTCAGACGCAAAATATTTACTCCAGCTTCCTGCCGTCACTTGAAGGTATCTCAGACTAGGCGGGTCGAGCTCGGAGCTACCTACGGGTTGCGTGCCCAGAGGTCCCACCACCGGCAGTGTCCATCCTGACCTTTTGACCCCCTGGATCACCTCGGGGACCTTCATACAAGGGTGCGTAGACTCGGCACAAATGGCATCCGATGGTTTTATGAATAATCTCTAGTTTATTAAACCATACAGCCAAACCGGTTTTACAACCCAGACATCACAAGATCACTCACATCCCCATCACAGGGGAGGAGGAAGTCCAGGAGGGGGAGGACCCAACCTTACCTGGATGTCCTATGTCTTTTATAGTCCGGAAGTTGTGTAAATGCAGGGGTGGGCATAGATATTCTGCTGGGGTGGGGCTGGGTTGGTGCCCTCGGACTCCGTGAGGCTCTGTGATGCTGCTGCTTTGGGCCCTGGCAGGATGGGCTGGGGTCTCCATGTTCTGGGTGGCATTTTGACAACAGAGGTGCCTATTGGGGCCAGTGGGGGAGCTGGCTCCCTGGAGGGCTAAGCCTAACCAGCCATTCCTCCCCATCCCCACACATTTCTCTCCTCCTGCTCCCTCACATCATCACACAATCATGCACATAGGACCTTGGGGGGTGGACAAGTCAGGGAGTGCGGGTATGGAGCCCATTTCTGCATTCCTGTGGCAACCTGCCCCCCAAATTTATCTGCACCTTATACACTTCCACCGATGACATTCCACGCAAACACACACTGATGGGCTCGACACACGGGAGGTGACATCGCCTCTCCTCCATTCATTTTCCATGAGACATGCGCGACAAAGCGATAATCGCGGGTCTCCCTCCTGCCAAGCGAAACGCGAAAAACATGCGTGTGAAATGTTGCACTTGTGCACGTGTGAGTTCACATAACTCTAGCAGCACCTTGTGAAACATCATATCTACCGCTTTATTAACTCTGAACCACTTAAATAACCTTAATTCCCTCCAACCTGACACAGCCAATCAAAACAACAGAAGTTTCGATTTCGCCATGGAACAGAACGCGTAGACGGCTTTGCCGCTGGCCGCTGCTGCGGGTCGCCTCCCGTGTGTCAGGTAATAAAAGCGACAGCGACAAATTTCGCTGATCGCGGTCGTTTGTCGCCTCCCGTGTGTCGAGCCCATTAGGGCCTTGGGAGTGAGCACATTCAACGGCATTTGGCAGGGGGATATCTCAGCCTCCTCCCGAGTGCCGGTGCCCACTCCCAATTTTAAACTGCACTTAGACACCGAGGGCTCTGGGTGCAAGTGAGGTGTTGTGGTGGCATCAGCTGGCATAGGCCAGACGATGCCCGCACTGCCTGCTCACCACAGCCATGAATACACCTCATCAACACTCACTAACACTATATTGGAGCAGGCGAAGGGAGACTAGGGGTCTTAGCCACCTCTGTTGTTGCTAGGCTTCCTGGGGCTGGAGGCTAGGAGGGAGATCTGGCCGTCTGGTTGGGGTCTGGGGTGGTGGGATGCTGTGCTCAGCGTTGGGCGGGGGAGCCTGCTCATCAGCACCCCAGCAGAAAGGGTCAAACTCTGGTAACCGGTGATAGTTGTACCCCATGTGCAGCAGTACCGGGACCAGAGTGAATAGGGTGTGTATGAGGAGCATGAGTGGGTGTCCGGCGTGCATTTTTGTAAGTCTTTGGTTGTATGTGCATGTGTGAGCATGAGGGAGGGAGTGTGTGACTGTGTTTGTGTATGACTGTATATGTCAGGTGGGGCCTTTGACTCCTCCCCTCTCCTGGGACTTCTTGTGATGATAAAGATCTTCGTCTCCCCTCCCCCGCCACACCTGGTGTGGAGTGTGGTGCCTTGGTCTGCCTGGGTCATGGCTCCCGGGTCAGGGAGTTTAAGATTTTTGGCATCTGCCTGATCAATCCCGGTGGCTGCCTGGTGGGGTCTGGGTCCCTGGGCTCTGCTGGGTCCCCAGCGGGGGTGGTCGCCCCTGGGTCCCGGGTTATTGTGTCCCGGGCTCGTGATTGTTCAGTTAAACAATGTTGATTATGTATTTCTTCATCAAGTTGACGCAGTGATAGCTAGATCTTGTTGTATTGTCGTTGTGTCCCTTCTTTGTTTTTTTGTTTTTATTTTTTTTTCTTGTCTCTTTCTGCAGGTCTAGAAGCAGACTCTTGTTCATTATTGTTTATTTTTGTGGACCCCCCCCCCCCCCCGTCTTTTCCTTTCTCTTTCACCTCTGTCTCCGTGTCTGGTCGGAATTACAAAACATTCAACAACAATAACAATAAAGTTTTAAGTATCAGGCGTGACATTAAAAGCAGACGCTTTGATGCTCCACCTGAGAGTAAATCTGTAAGGCTTGTCACCAGCATTCAGACATCAATTCTGTTTGCTTCACCGCCAGACAGGACACGGTAAAAATAAATAAATATATATATATATATATATATATATATATATATATATATATATTTATATATATATATATATATACAAGCTCGCCCAGAGACTTACAAGGTTTTGCTAAAACAACCAGCTTACATTTCATCATTTCATTCATACTTTGTCATGTATAATCACTCAGTTATGGACAATAGACTCTGTCTGAATTAATATGAAGTTTTTGTTCCCTGTGCAGTCCTAAATGAATATGAAGTCAAATATTCAAGGAACAATAAGGTTCATATTTATACGGGACATCACATCTTATTGATCATTTAACAAATAATGTAGCTAATCCTCACCACTATAACTTGTTGCAGCTGAAAGTAATTACCCAATAGGAGGCTCGCACCTATGTTTAGTTAAATTCAGGTGGACTTTTCTCGCCTGGGTGGTGAATTAGCAGAAAACCAGTAGGCCCTAGCAAGCTGAAAATGAAGCGAGGGCTCAGGTAGATGATGAAAAAGATACTTCACCTGACTGATGTTTGGGCAGTATGTTATATAGATTATGTCTTTTTCCTCCTGAAATGCATTCCTTTCCCCTCCACCGTGCCTGAGATCTTTGCTTTTTAAGTTCAAACCTATCCCTTGAGCTACAGATTAGTGATGTTGGCTCTTTGTGAAGCTGCACAAAACCCAAGTAATTAAAGGCTCCTCTGTCACTTGACAGGCTCTAATCTAGACATGCTTTTATTGCATTAGATTTTACTGTCTGCTTGTGCCAAAACAGCTGAGAGCCAGGCATCCTGTGTTTCTGCTCTACGTGTGCTAATAATTAAAGATGATTTGACACAGAGCAGATCTGGATGTCTGTCATTTCTTCAGATGCAGATGGTAAACCCACTCATGTTAAGATTGGTGCTCTTCAGAAGCTCTAGATTCTCACATCAACGAACAGAAAACAAAATCAGTTTGGCAGCCATAAGTGTCACTAGTGCCTGCTGTTGTGCACGAACACATTCAAATGAGCACATTCTTGAATGACGTTAATGTTTTCTCTGAATTTTGGACTTGACCATGCTGTCTCTTTCAACCATCAATGCATTCTGAGTGCATTGACTTGCTGAAGCCAGTGAGCTGATGCAGAATGACACCCACTAATATCCGGCCCTTGCTGCGCCTTCACTGGGTTCATGGAGAAATGACATCACCGTCCTGTGATTGGATGGCTGGACTTCAGTGCTAGGCCAAAATT